GATGCTCTTCAGGATGAGATCAACTTCCTCAGGGCAGTCTATGAGGCTGTAAGTTAAATTATGTTGTGTATGGCCAACCAAAACTTGTTAGCATAGACTACTGCTGCTTTATAAGGGTAGTTAATTTACTGATTGTTTGGTCTACATTTGCAGGAACTGCGTGAGCTCCAGTCTCAGATCAAGGACACATCAGTTGTTGTAGAGATGGACAACAGCAGAAACCTGGACATGGATGCCATTGTAGCTGAAGTTCGTGCTCAGTATGAGGACATTGCCAACCGCAGCCGTGCTGAAGCAGAGAGCTGGTACAAACAGAAGGTGGTTCAAGCTCTTATAACTTCACTTTTTGAAGATCACCTCAACTGTGGCTACGCAAGTGCTCATTTGTGTCAATAAATGTTACAGTTTGAGGAGATGCAGACCTCTGCTGGTCAGTATGGTGAGGACCTCCGCTCAACCAAGACTGAGATTGCAGAACTCACCCGCATGATCGCCCGCCTGCAGAACGAGATTGATGCCGTCAAGGGACAGGTAATGATGAGCAAGGGGTTGATATATAATTGGTTTGCATACTGTTTATGTAAAGAAGGTGACTTCATGTATGTTATTGTCATTTTAGCGTGCCAACTTGGAGGCTCAGATCGCTGAGGCTGAGGAGCGTGGAGAGCTGGCAGTGAAGGACGCCAAGCTCCGTATCAAGGATCTCGAAGAGGCCCTCCAGAGGGCGAAGCAAGACATGGCCCGCCAGGTGCGTGAGTACCAGGAGCTCATGAACGTCAAACTGGCCCTGGACATTGAGATCGCCACCTACAGAAAGCTGTTGGAAGGAGAAGAGAGCAGGTAGGAAGTTTTAAAAGAATATTTCTTTGACATTTACACTCAAATCTTTTCGACAAACCTTGAGGTTGGAAAAACATCACTAAACAAATCTGTTGTCTTCTTTACTCTAGACTGTCCAGCGGTGGAGCTTCAGCCACCATTCACGTGCAGCAGACCTCTGGAGGTCTCTCATCTGGTAAATAAATCTCTCTCTCTCTCTCTCT